TGGAAGAATTATCCGATGTTAGTTCGAGATTTCTCATCGTTCTTGGTCACGTAGCACATCCATAAACCGCTGCTATTGTTAATCTAGAGGGCAGCAGAGGTCCAGTGACGTCACTAAAATCGAATCCCCATCTCGATTGTCTAGGCTTTTTGGTGATTTCCTTGACTTCTAGTGTTGACTAATATGGGTCAGTTTTCCTGACAGCTATTTCATCTTCAAAATAATACAGGGAGGGAGCTCTTCAGTCCTCTTCGTACTATATGGGATAATAACAAAAGTATTCATGTTTTCAGATATTAATATTTTGTTACTCTGTTTCTAAAAATTCGAAGAAATTTCAGCGGTTAATGCAACTGGAAGCCAGTGGAGGATTTTATCAACTCTGCTGAGCTAATTGAAGGATGCGAGCGTCCACAGCAAAACCAAGAAAAGGTCCGTTTTTTTAAAAAAATTTAAAAGTTCGAAACAGGATAGATTTTTTGCCGAGCAGCTAGATCATTTTCAAAGAACGACCGTTAAACGGAAATCGTTCATTTTCCTATATGCGAAATTTGCGATGGTTTACGCTGGTTGTGTGCATCCAAGTAAGTGTAAGGCAGCAACTATTCATACAGCTACCCACCTGATTTCTTCATGTTCAGCGCAAGAGTGCATGATCACAGGCAAGTTTGTTGCATTCCAGCCCGAGTTCTAAATAGTGTTTGTTTAGGTGGCGAAGTCGGCTAACATGCGCAGCGTGGAGGCTGGGCAGGTAATTCCACGTGGCAGACGACGTGTGCTACGTGGAAGTAGTCTTGGATTCCGATTGCGAACCCAGCAGCATAGTGCCGCCGCCAGAAAACAGCGTGCCGCGTGGAGCAGCATCTCAACGCCAATTTGGGCGAGAAAGATGTATAAATGTGTTTATAACATCTGAAATATGGGAATGTATAAAATGTATGAGTGTGTGGTTAGTATAAATGTATAAGTGTTTGAAAAGTGTAAGTGAAATGTATAAAATTTAAATGGGATGTATAAAATGTATAGTGTTAAATTCTGTAATGTGTAAAATGTATAGGAGAAATGTATATAGGGAATGTTTAAAATGTATAATGTATAAGTTTTATGTATAATTAAATTTTTGATCTATTTGGCATGAGAAACACTGATCGAGCGTATATTCATACGCCTGATTTCACTATTTTATTTTGCTCATTTGCTTGTTATTTTTGCAGTATTCAATTTTTTGGTCGAAATCAGTGTTTTCGTGAGTGATACTGTGTTGTAACTCGCATTTTTTCTTCTCTGGAGAAAGGAGCGGGGGGGAGGGGGAGGGGCGGGGAGCACGTAGAGTGCTTGAAATGGGTTTTGGTTCATACTCTGTGTCTAATGGTTTTCCCATTTGTTTTGGTCAGTAGTCAGCAGATGGCGATCCTGATGTTCGTTTCATTCTTTGCATGGGCTGCATGTCCAACAGTTCTCGTGAAAAAAAAAGTAATGCTTAGCAAGGCTTTAGCTTTGAGGTGTCCTTGGTATAGATTGAAAATCACCTCGTCTCTCGTAAG